ATTAAGTACAAAATTCGAACCTTTATTTATTTATCATATTCTTATCATAATACATCTTATACAAAAAAATAAAAAGAACATTACAAAATATGTTATATTAAAAATAGTGCACCACCGGCTGCAGAATCCCATGACTCAAGCAACCAGCGGTCAGTCCTGCAGAGACAGAAACCTTCTCACGATGCGCGCGGTTTCTAGAATAACTGCGTTTTGTATCGGGCCCTTAATCCAACTGTTTAGCGAGAGCTTCTTAAGATGTTAGTCGAAGCTCTTCGCTATCAATCCATTCACCGATACGACTATCGGAATAATGGTAGGCGATTTCATAAGCCACATGGCATTAACCTCGTGAGCCAAACATTTTAACAATTTTTCGTTTTCAGCTTTCACGAGAAAATATGTATAACTTTACTATTTTCTTGTTGTCAGAAGTATTTTCAAGTGGTCAAGCGAAATAAACTGTGTCTATAATTGATATTGCTACTCGCAACTGGCGCCACTCGTTTCATTTGTCATTATCCATCGATAACACGGAGAGATCGTTACGCCTGTAGCACACAGACGTGTAAGCAGTATATAAGCGAGGCGATATAAACCTTACATGTATTTAATTAGTTTTTGATAACAGTTTACGACATAAGTTTTTTATATCGTAAGACATCCACAATTGCAGATGTGTTTGCCCAACTTTAATCGACCGAGTATGGACGCACGGAAAGAGGAGGCGTCCCTTCCTCTGTCAAATCTACTTTCCTTCCAAACCTTTCCTTATCAAAAACGGGTGGGAAGGGTAAAAGGACTTTAGTTCTCTGTCATCATCTTTCTATTCTTTTTCTTACTAAGGCCTGGCAGAATATGTACTTCCATTGATCTTTGACAGCAGTCCTCCTTAGAATCTATTCTCAACCTTTGGAGCCTTTTAATAAATCTAATTTATAGGTCCATTGCAATAAAACGATTTAAAGATACAGAGCGAATTTCCGTTTTTGAATTTATTCGCTATAGGTTCGCTTCGCTTCGCTTAAGTTACTGTGTTAAAGGCGTTATAAAGAGGGACAGCGTCTTTACTGTTCGAATAAGTTGCGATATATCGACATGCGACATTCACTCTAACATGTATTGACGATGTTTAGTTACTGGAAATAGAAACATATTTTATTTATACCATTTATAAACGTAGATTTCCACTGACGAAACAAAAATAATTATTATAATACGATGAAAATTAACTTTGAAATACTACAATGCAACTTTATACTATCTCATTTAAGTACTTCGTTACAAATTAGGTTACGTTCACACTGAGCGGGTAATGAAAAGTTCTCAACACTCCCTTTGTATTGAAATGCTAAAGATTCTAGTGTAATTTAACTTTAGCCCGTTATAACTTTCCGGGTACGTTGAAGATTCAATCTAAATACATTGTCTTAGTACAGTTCAGCGAGAAATTGTAAATCGAATGCTAGTAGGAAAATTAATTCATTTTCATATAGGTTAATTTTTATTATAAAAACTTTATTTAACGTTGAAAATAATTACATTGCAAAAATTAATTTAATAACAAATTTATTTTATTACCGCAAATTATTGTAAATATTGGATATCAATTTTTAATATGTTAAATGTTTATTTTATATAGTGGATTTAATAAATATTTTAATACTTTGTTTAAACAGGAGGAAAAATAAATAGAAAATTATTGTTAAAATGATATAAAAACGGCTAAACACTCATGTATATTCGTCCGGTGGCGGCACCGACTAGTTTCGAGCCCATCGGGGGCGCTTCATCAGGATGAGTGGTACTGGTATTATTTTGCGGACGCGGCCCGTCGCTCAGTGAATATACGTGTGTTTAGCCGTTTTTATATCAGTTTTGTATAATGTCTCACGAAAGTTTGAATAAAATTATTGTTATTTATTGTTATTTATAAAATTTTTAATATCTTACGTTGGCCAATTAATTATTAAGTTAATAAATTGTTCAATGAGAGTATAAACATTACAGATACTTCCCGACTCTTATATTTTATTATAATATAAAAATTAAATAACATTTTAAATTATCTATAAAAATTTACTCAATATAATGCAACGAACGCGACAACTGCTCTTGAAAGACTGATCATGACGTATGAATCCCTCAGAGTTTTGTGTTTACGCCTCAACGGTTTTCTTTTTTTATCGATTTTATAAACGTACGACTCAGTTGACACATTCTTAGAGAACATATTACCAACTCTCTCGCTCCTATGGAGAAAACTGAGGCAACTGTATATTTCTGTAGGATGTTTTGGTAGACTTAAGATAGAGATTATACAGAGAAACAATAACAAACAGTTTCCTTAAGGTACGCGTCCATTGGCCGGCACCGGACGCACCGCATACGGCCTGCAATGGATTGCTTGTTTATAATTGCCGTCTTTAGTTGCGGCCGGCGCGGATGATGGACGCAGCGTTACGTTAAATCATACGTAGCAAACTAAAATCCGTTGCGGGCCGTGCGTGCGATGCGTCCGGCGCGGACCAATGGGCGCGATTATAACAGCGATAATTTCAGAAGAATTCGTAATTGTCTTTGTTTTTTAGATTCAAATTCTACCACATACAGTGCTGTTGTTCCGAAGCACTTGATTTGCACCAAACTGTTGTGAGTGACGTCATCATTACACTCTAATTCCGTCGAGAGATGACTTTTGTTTACGATTAAAGGTAAAATCAGCACACGAGTTACTCGTGTTCTGATTGGCCTTTTTAACCTAAGGCTTTATACGCACTGAGCGAATATCAATGTCAATGCAGCTAACCGCATGCAGCAAAATAATATTCACTAAATAAAACTCTTCCATCTTTTTTCTTCATTTTTAAATGGTCAAAGATTGCTTTGAATTCTGGTAACAACCAGACTTTTAACTGTTCGACCAAAAAGTACTTATATCTTATTTCAATTTCTTTATTGTTTGCTTTTTTATCCATTATATTTGATTATGTATAATTGAATGTTAAACACATGGTGAGGTTTTCGGATACTAGCGGTTATCATGAACTGATAAGCGTAGTTGCAACCAAAACAAGCGCGTAACCGATTAATGCGTACGATGCCTTAGGCAAGGCTAAAAGGGCCAAGGTACTGCATTGCGATGCAACAAGCCATCTCTGGTGTAGTGTTCATGTTTGATTATTCGTTAGATCTGAAAACCAACGTCCTAACCTTGTAGCGAAAATAAAAAATCTTTGGTATCTTTGCCCTTATGGGCATAATCTTTCAAAGGCTTTCTAAAATTAATTAATAAAGAATGCTTTTGACTCATGTCAAAAGATTCTAATAAATTGACAGATGATAAGTTTATAAATTAATTAAAATTCATTGCTTTTAAATTCTGAAAATTAATTTTGGTTTAATTACAAGTCTGACTCACAAGGTTAGTTTTGTTTAAAAAAAAAATTGCTACACCTCAAATTATTAAAATTTCTGCAGCACTTAAGAATATCACCATATAAGGGATATGACTAGCAATATTATCAGCTTATTACACGTCCCTGCCAAGGGCTGGGGAGCCTACTCTACGTTACGGTTGACCTTAATTATCCACGCTGGCTTCAGATTAGTTTATTTCACTTTCACATACAACTTTGATTTTTTAGTCGCAGGTTGCATCTGGATTTTTTCATATAAAATTCGTTAAAGAAAAAAACATATTGTTACATGGCGGGGATTGAACTCGGAGCTGATAAAGTCAGCTTAACCCTTTCGCCACCGATGCTTTCAACTAAAGCATAAATTCATACACTGTGTTATTGATGTTGTATAATTTATTAGGTCAAACGAGCGGTGATCCATCATTATTATTACTAGGTGAAGGTGTTTACGGATTGCCGGTGACAGCATTGATATATCCATTGTCGTTCGAGACATACTATTTTCTGTGACTTTGTCCATATACAACGCTAGTAACTACTAACTACTTATATTGTAGATTTTTCTAAGTAAATCTACACTGAGGGAGGACGTTTCTCTGAGTTCCAATAGTTTATGGGTTTTAAACAACTGATGATAAATGCAGTTGTAATTATATATCTTTTCTATCAGTCTCTAAGTCATAATTATTATGTATGAAATGTAGCTACGTACATTTATGTAGTTTATAAAAAAAAATTGTACTTAGGTAAAATTTAATGCCACATTAGTGACCCCTAAAATACCTTATCCTAACGATTTTTGTTCTTACGTATTCCCGTAATACCCTTGCGCCATTAGGTAAAGTGTTAATGCCGAGTCCCGGGCTTTGTGTAAAATATTTTGCTTACGTCGAATAATCGGTACGAGAAGACATTATCGCCCTTGCGAAAATGTTAAGTAAATACCTATTTACTTTTATTACCTTAAAAATATACCACTCTCTACCCAACCCTAGAGGTCGAGAGAGACACCAACACTTTAGTTATAGTAGCCCAAGCGAGATTTTTTGGTTCCACGCCTTGTTTTTAATGCATTCTCCGTGCCCTAGGGGAGGTTTCGGTAATTATGTGAGATTCTCTTCGATGGAAAGCATAACCACTAAACCCCTCTGTTCCTCCTACGCATGATGGCGAGGTCACGGGCACGCTTATACCCAACCGTTACTAATCCAGAAATTCTTTTGCCTCCCCGACGTCTACTTTATGTGTGGTTCTTTTTCACTCCATGTAGGCTTTTCGTCTTTCCAATTAATCTATCATTATATTAATGTTAACTATAGAAAAAAATGTTTAACAGAAAAATGAAACAAATTTGAGGAGAAACTTAATCTAACGTCATTTTGCGAATGAAAAGAAGGATACATCTCAAGTAATATGCTCAAACAACTTGAAGGAAGAGACATCCTTTAGTAATAGAAATATGACGTGTGTACTGTTTTATTGAAATGCAAAATGATTTGTAATTTATTTCAGTGAAGTTTCTTGCACAATCAACAAAATATATTTATCAAATATATTTGTAGTCATAAAACTCGGTCATGAAAATACATAGTAACATATCATTCGAACTATAAAGACTGGAAAATAATAAACTGTTTAGTATGTTCATACTTCAATATTATTTACTGTGCGTTCTAATCGTTGAAAGTTCCACTAAGGAATCACCTTTGAGAATAATTGGCGGGAGTGACGCGCAAGAAGGACAATATCCTTTTGTAATACGCTTGGAAAGTCAAATCAAGAGATCTGGTAACAGTACATATCATAAACACTTATGTTCGGGGACCGCTTTATCATCAACATGGGTATTAACAGCAGGGCACTGCGCGAGCGTCGTATTAAAGTATAGGCTAAAAATGGTTGTAAGATACGGACGTGTTGAACATCCTCCAGATTATGAAGACACGTTTAGCAAAGTTTTATTAACTATAATACATCCTTTGTACTCATACAAGTTCGAAGAGCTTCACATCACGCCAAATAAAAATGATATGGCTCTGTTGAAAACCACACCAATGAAGGTTAAAAGGTTTTGTAAACTCAGTTCAGTGGATTTTTTCTCTTTATACGGTTACGAAGCTGTACTCGCTGGTTATGGGATAACAACAACTAAATTACCTGATGGCACAATTTTAACTAATTCCTCACTCAATCTACTTAAGCCACTTCAAATTTTAAAAGTATTAATGTATAAATGCGGCCAAAATTTCCTGAGACCAGGATTTTGCTTAGCACCGAAATGTGGGAGAAAAATGACGTCCTGCCCGGGTGATTCTGGATCTCCATTGATCCATCCTTCAGGTGTAGTCGGCGTGTTATCGTTGGCAGAACTAACGACTGATTGCTTATATCCGACAATAAATAGTCGGGTCTCTCTCGTCGGTGTAGTTTTACCAATAAGTCCTTACATTGAATGGATTCTAAGTCATGTAACTGCATGAAAGAAGTATTTAACGAGTTAATGAAAAAATCAACTATCTGTTGGCAACTGAGCAATATAGTAAAAATGACTTTCTAGTTGAAAACCATAATATTGTAGTCTTAGAAAGGCTGCGCGTAATATTTTTGATGACCGAAGTGCACAAAATTATTATGGATAACGAGATATTTAGTGCCGCGAATATTCAATGCACTCCAAGATGAGATGAGAAAGGACAGTTGCAAGAAAAATATGAAAATTCAGCTGCTAAATACCTACGCTGCCTAATAAGTAACTGATGACCTTGTATCTAATGTATTACATTGTAGATTTTATAAATTAAATTTTAGTCTTATATGCAGTAATAAGTGTTAAGTTTAGTGTTAAGATTCAAGGGTGCAGTTTTCGAGAATAAACTCCCGTGACTCCGTCCCTGCGGTATTAAAAAAACTTAATTAGTAGCCTATTTGTTCTTCTAGACTAGGTTCTACATCTATGCCAAATTTCAGCTAAATAAATATCGCTGTTCTCGAGATATCTTCAAACATCCATCAATCTAAACATTAGCATTTATAATATTAGTAAGATGTAATTCACATATAAAAGTTCTGCCAAGTTTGTCTTAAACTTAATTCCTGGACAATTTCATGTATGTATTATGACTGAATTGAAACATTCGACAGTTTATAATTTCACTAGCTATATTATAAACTGAAAAAAATCATATCACAGTCTACTATTCGATTAGTCAGCACTTGAAAATATCTTAATGTAGTTGTAATATCGTTAATGATATTATAAAATTAATTGTATACAATGTTTGTTGGTGAGATATAAATTAAACAAGTCGTAGAAAACATGACCAAAACAAGTTAGTGACAATGTTCCCGAATGCGCGTTGACGCGTGACTTTCCGTCGTTTCGGGCGCAAGGAACGCCATTGCGACATTCTCAGATGTAAATAAATCTCGAGATAAGCTTGAATATATAGCAGCAATTTCATCCGCTCAAGGGTCAAACGAAAGTGTAGGATTTTCCTCTCTAATCGTTCCTTTACTAAACGTTTTCCTTAAGGTGATCTTTGATTTGTTACAATATATATATCCGTGTCTTAAAACAAACAACGTCTATTAACGAGACATCATTTAATTCCAATACATTTTATACTTGGCTCAGTGGTCAAGCACTTGACATGCAATCTACAGGTCCTGGGTTCGAATCCCGCCATGTATCAATGTGTTTTTCGATTTCCGATTTACATATGTACATTTATCCGACGTTCTTACGGTGAAGGAAAACATCGTGATGCAACCTGCACATGTTTGAGAAGAAATTCAATGATATGTGTGAAGTCAACCAACCCGCAATTGGCCAGCCTGGTTGACTATGGCCTAATCACCCTTAACTTAGGGTAGGCTCCGAGCCCCTAGGTGGGGACGTATAGTGAGCTGATGGTGACATTTTACACTGACATATTGACTAAGTAAGAATTTCTATTGTTTTCTTGAATCAACGATGAAACATATTATTATATTATACTAAAATTGGACTGTGTATGTACTATCGAAAAAAAATATTATTACGAGTGTAGGACGCGATGTACTTGTATTGCAGATAATGTAAAACTAATGGAAAAAAAATTGTCAGTCTGTCCGGTAGCCCGCGTTTCTTCCGGGTAAACCCTTTCCTGTGCTGATGAAGTCGCGGTAGACTCTTAGCACTTTATAAAATTAAAGTAATTTAAAACAATAAAAGTAGGAGCTAACAAATCAATGAGCAGAGAACGTAGTATATCAAAGAAAACAATTAAGGTACAAGTAGCCAAGAAGATAATGGAGCTATTAATGATTTAACATAAAAGTTAAGTCGTAGGGGAATCTTTAAAGTAAATGTGTACGGAGCACTTTATCGTCTTTTGATTACCTCGCGATATAGTACGTTAAATGGAGCGGAACTTTCCTTCGTCGAATTTGTTGGGAAAGTTAAATGTTCACTAAGTTTATATATA